ATCCGCTCTCTGTCGTTGGAGTCCACAACAAAGATGATGCCGTTTGTATTTTGGTAGTAGTGGCGCCACAGCGGGCGCAGGACATCCTGGCCGCCGACATCCCACATGGTGAACTTAAGGTTCTTGTACTCCACCGTCTCCACGTTAAACCCAATCGTGGGGATCGTGGTGACGATCTCGCCGAGCTTGAGCTTGTATAGAATTGTCGTCTTACCAGCAGCATCAAGACCCACCATCAAGATGCGCACCTCCTGCTTCCCCAGGAGCGACTTGAATGCGGACGCTAGCCACTGACCCATTGTTTCTCCTTCTCAGCCTTGTATTTCTACGGTTGCTACCCAAGGAGTCCTCAAACACAGCAAAGTAGATGAGGGAGCAAGGCAAAGAAAGGGGACGCCGCTGCAGGGCTGTCCCCTGCGGCTCTCTCAGTAACAACATGAGTAACTACAATAACAGAGCAGCAAACGCAAACAAACAGCAAAGTATATTGAAACACAAACACCCAAACAGGAAGCTATTGTGTTGTTTTTTTAATATTTGCGGCAAGCCAGTCCAAGCCCTCGTACAAGCCCTGAGCCGAAGTGGCGCAACATCCTTGAATATACCAGTTGCGCTGACGCACCGACTGCAGTCCAAGCTTTTCCGTTACCTCTGTCGTACTCATTGCATTGGGCAGGTCCTGCTTGTTGGCAAATACAAGGAGAATAGAATTGCGAAGCTCGTCCTCTGTAAGCATCTTCTCCAGCTCCTGTCGCGCCTTGCCAATCCGCTCTCTGTCGTTGGAGTCCACAACAAAGATGATGCCGTTTGTATTTTGGTAGTAGTGGCGCCACAGCGGGCGCAGGACATCCTGGCCGCCGACATCCCACATGGTGAACTTAAGGTTCTTGTACTCCACCGTCTCCACGTTAAACCCAATCGTGGGGATCGTGGTGACGATCTCGCCGAGCTTGAGCTTGTATAGAATTGTCGTCTTACCAGCAGCATCAAGACCCACCATCAAGATGCGCACCTCCTGCTTCCCCAGGAGCGACTTGAATGCGGACGCTAGCCACTGACCCATTGTTTCTCCTTCTCAGCCTTGTATTTCTACGGTTGCTACCCAAGGAGTCCTCAAACACAGCAAAGTAGATGAGGGAGCAAGGCAAAGAAAGGGGACGCCGCTGCAGGGCTGTCCCCTGCGGCTCTCTCAGTAACAACATGAGTAACTACAATAACAGAGCAGCAAACGCAAACAAACAGCAAAGTATATT